ACACACTCACACACATACACTAACACACAAACACACACTCACACACATACACTAACACACACTAACACACAAACACACACTAACACACATACACTAACACACACATACACTAACACACAAACACATAAACACACATTTTTTTTTTAAATGTAATCCCCCCAGCCTCCTTACCTTTTGGAGTGCTGGGGGGATTCCCTGGGGTCCAGTGGTGCTGCTGACCCCGGCGGGCAGGTGGCCGGTCGGGCAGGAAGGCGGGCGCGCGAGGGAGCACTCAGTGCCGCGTAGGGATGCCGGCGCCGGAAGATGACATCATCTTCTGGCTCCGGTATCAGTGCGGTGCGCGAGGGAGCTGAAGAGGAAGCACTGAGGGCTCCCTCGCGCGCCCGCCTTCCTGCCCGACCGGCCACCCGCCCGCCGGGGTCAGCAGGGCCAGCCTCAGGGGAGCCCTGGAGTGGCCGCCTCCTGGGCCCCCCAGGGGAAGATGCTGGCCCTGTGGGTGCATACCAGGGTCACAGCCGCGACCCTGGTATGTACGCCACTGCCCTAAGTGCATGGGCCACCCGGTGGGACGGGGGAAAAAAATTAATTGATGAGGGCAGCGGGGCCCACGGGGCAGGTGCCTCGGGCCCCCCAAGAGAAACTGGGCCCGGGGCAGCTGCCCCGTTTGCCCCGCGCTAAAGACGGCCCTGGCTAAATGTATATGCAGTAAGGGAATGCATTTGTGTAAAATAGCAAATTTCTATGTGCTAAATGTATTGTATTCATCTGAATGTTAGGTAGTTTCATTCCCTTAGTTTGTTCGAATGAAACTACCGAAGAGTCAGACCTCCCCTGTATGAAGTGTGCCTTCAATTACTCGTTTCAACATTGTTGCGAACGGGTAATTGACAAGCTGTGTAGCAATCCTTTGTTCTCGGGGGTGGCCGCCATTCGGGAAACGAACACGTGGCGGAGGCCATCTTAAACTCCCGAACAGCGGTGTTTTGCCATCGAGTGTCTGGAACTCAAAACGGACACTCGACTAGGCGAACAACGCTGAGACCTCCATCAGCCCCTCGTTCGGTAGGCATAATCAACCGAACGAGGGGATTCAGGCGAACCCTCCCCAGCCTCTATAGCTGGAGGCTTTCAGGTACTTCATTCGCCTGTTCCAGGACCAACCGCAGGGCCCAATCACATGGAGCCCAATTCGGCTAGTTCATCCAGTGCGGTCGGTCATTTTATTCCCTCCATGAAATTCCCGAACCCCTGGTCCAAATCTTTTTGGATATGTTGTTCACCCAGATCAGGGCTACCAGGGGATGCATAATTTAAAGTGGTACCCCTAGATTTAGGGGTACATCCAGAAATGGGGGGAATTGCTGTACTGGATAAGGGGATTATGATGCCGGCTGAGGGGAGGAGATGTGTGGGAGGTTACCAGGACAGGATTGGCTATTGTGTTAATGAATGTAATCCCTCCTTTGCATGGGAGCATGCTTTAAAAGGCCACTGTGGAATAAAGCTTGCAGTTCTGCTCCTGATGCTGTGTGTCGTCCAGTCATTGGGATTGCTGTGGGGATACTATGGGATTATTTTGCCTGTTGGAAACCTTGCCTGTGGATTTATAATTTACTTGTTCCTGAGCCTCACTGGGATCTTAAGCGGAGATAATCTGTGGAAAATTGTATCTCCGCTACAGATTACATCTCATTTATTTCGTATAGGTGCTGCAACAGAGGCTGAATCACATGGTCTATCGAATGAGTCAGTTAAGAAAGTGGGTTGATGGTCCTCGAGCAGATTTAAAAGTTATGTTAGACCTTAATGCTTAATGACTTGATTCTTTCTGTTTCAGATATAAGGGCCTGTGATTATATGGATAGTAGGCCATTCTTTCATCCACTAGGCACATAGAAGAGCTGTGGAGAGGTCATTTGGCGAAAACTTGAGTTTTGATAATGAGACCGCTTTCATTTATTGGGTTGGTGTAAGGGGTTTATTAAGGGATGAAGTTTTTAAAGATTTACAAAGCTGTTTTGGCCAAATTCCTTGGCCACATGTTATTATTTTTCATTATGGTAGGAATGATGTGGGCATAGTTAAGTCAGTGGTTTTGTTTCATCAACTTAAGGAGGATGTTTTTCATTTTAAGCAAATTTTCTCGACTTGTTAATTATTTGGTCTGAAATTTATGCTATCAGTTCGTGGTTTTTGTTTTCGCCATGTCGACATTAAGGGGCAGTGTGAAGGTTTGTTTATAAGAAATGGTATTCATTTATCTGATATCGGTTTAGATATTTTTAATAATGATTTACAGTGCATGATCGATAAGGCCTTGGTCTGGTGGGGTGGGCTGCAGCATTAGTTGCATGCTGCAGCTTGTGGGGTCACCTGCCTAATTTAAAGGGGGGGGGAGTTACGTTATCATTTTGTTTGGGTTCTGGCTAATAGGGCGGAACTCTGGTGAGTTATGTGTTAAATCTCTGGGGGTTTAACCCCTTAAGGACACACAACATGTGTGACATGTCATGATTCCCTTTTATTCCAGAAGTTTGGTCCTTAAGGGGTTAAAGACCGGAGATGTTTGGTTAGAAATTACATGTTTTTAAGTAAATGAGTTACGTTTGTATAATTTGTAAACTAAATGAAAGACCACGACCTTTTTAGCACACATCTGAGTCTGTGTTTCATTATTATGTTTCTGTGCCTTACTATGTTATGTATTACTTGCTGTTATTATGTTATTAACCCCTTGCTAAGCACATGTGTGTTTTATGGGGAAGTGATGAATATTTTCTTTATAAAATCTGTTTCAAATTTGGGCAAAAGTATACAGAAATGACAATATGATTCTCTTATTGTAGTGGCTGCATAACATCAAGGTACTTGAAAGAAGTTCTTGTTAAATAAAGTTCCCACTCAGTTCGTTCATATGCAACAAATATACTCAAGGTAATGGCATCAGAGGGTTCTCACTCAACATAAATGATCTATTCTAGCATTCAGTGAATTGGAACTTGTGCCAATAACGTCAAAATTAGCTTATTCAATGCCTAACCAAAAAAGTTCAATGAGTACAAAAATACAATAAAAAGTGATCAGTATCTTTTATTGTGTGTGACTACTATTTCACTTCATTAATTGCTTCCGTTGCTCCATTTGGCATTTTTTTGTGAGTACTTAATATAAACAAACATGAAGTATACTAAATATACTAAGCACCATACAAGGGCTTTACATTTCAGATTTTATATTTGTATGGGAAATGTTTTTGTGAGTATATTGTTTGCTTTGCTCTTAGAGAAGATTTTCCTGTAACGTTAAACTTTATTATGTCACCACTTGTCCTTTATGTTCTGTTTTTATAAATTTTTCGAACATTTTGTGTAATTTTATAGTTCTCACCCATACATATTATTTGGACATTTTATGTGAAAATATACTTCCTATCCTTTTATTACACTCTCCTGTATCATTTTTAAAAAGAGTTGGGAACCAAGATAGCTAGTGTTATAGAGCGGAAAATTTCCCTAAAAACCCAGCTGTGAAAGAGGAAGCACCCTAATTAATCCCTTCTGGGCATGCGTTTAAAGTGGATCTAATAAGAATTCCTCCACACTCCACATAGGTCCACTGCTTGAAGAAGGACCATTTCTTTTTGATAACTGAAAAAAGCATTGCAAAATTTACAAAAGAGGATTGCCAACTTATTTTACTTATTCATTAAAGTGGAAATGTTAATTTCCATGATTTTTTAAATATTATTCTTACTGATCTATATATTTAACAAATATGTATTTGTGATGAATGAAAAATAAAAAAGCCAATTTATCCTACAACTGGGTGCCTCCATCTTAGCTCTCGGCCAGTCATTGTTAGAAGTTGTTCTTTACACGCTGATGTTGGCATAAAAAAAGCAGACAGAGAAGAGGAGAAATGAAACCATGTTACTATTTCTATTTCGCACTTGCAATTTTGGGCCTAGATTTGCCTTGTCTGTATTGGATTATAATGTAATTTGCTACATTTTTTATATATTTAAAAGAGCATAGAACATCTCACAAAGAAAAAACAAACAAAAACATTATAAGCTTTTTGCTGAGCCTGTGTGTCCCAAACAAGTCAACACATAAGTTCACAGCTACCAAGTCTTGCAGCTAAAGCCTTATGCAGTGGCATTAAATTTTGGAAAAATAATTCCCACCCACTCTACTCCACACCCCACCCTCCCCAGGGTAATCACTACATTTATAGATATATAGTACAAATTACCTGGTTTTCTAAACACCAATTAAGTCTACTAACCTCTCTTCACATGAAATACCTCAATTCCCACACGGCATGCCTTTTTAACCTGTTACCCCTCCAATCTCTCCCATGGTTTTAACCGAACATATCTCTTTATCTATGATAAAATCTCACTCATTTCTTAACGGGATACTGTAATGCTAGGAATACAAGCTGTTTTGTCAAAAATCTCCATGCCGTGCCTGCATGCCAGATTGAAATTGTGAGCTAAGCTTTATCTAGTCCATGGAGAAAGAGCCAAACCATGGACCTTGCATGTGTGGACTGTGGCTCTGCCAAGAGCTTCACATTGCTTAGTTCACTAAACTAAATGTGTGTACCGATAGCAGCCTCAGCATGGTACTTCTCATTGGGGATAAATTAGGTATCCTAAAAACTTCTGTTGTACTGACATTTATGGGATAAAAATACATCCCACAGACAAAAAAGACCCCACAAACAGCTGCAGGCAAACCCAATAAACAGTTCAAATCAATTGTGTTGTGTTCAACAGAGCACAGTGCCACTACAGCACCATTAAAAAGGATGATCCAATTCTAATGTTAGGATCAGAGGGTTTATGAAAATAGCCAGGGTCCATAGGGTTAGGAGGCTTTTGTCTATTAGGAAGAGGAGCAGAGAAATCACTTTATCAGCCTTCAAAAAGGTAAGAGTTACATATAAAATGAATTGTAATTTTGTATCAAGAAGATTTTGTTCTCTCACCTTAAGCCCTTCAAAGTAGCTTCCAGTATTCATTTTTAAAATATTCTTAAATATAGGATGTTCTTTCAAACAGGCAGACTTGAGAATGTTATCTATAGTATTATTCACTATCTGAGCTGCAGCTGAAATTTCATCCATTTTTAGTTTCAGTTTCTTCAATACATCTTTTAGTCTTCTACGACTTTCACGAGATGGAATGGGTGTCTCCTGATTTGTTTGGGGTTGTGATGCCATGTCTGTAGATACCTTGCTACTCTTTCTTTGAGTGCTGAATGGTTTTGCCACACTATCTTCAAATTTAGGAGAATCAGTAGACTCCTTGGTGGTCTTCTTTCTGCTGTGTGTCCGTGGTATTGTTCCCATTGCCCTAGTTTGAGTTGACGCTTTAGTGTCTTCCTTTTTAAGTTTCCCTTGCTTCTTGTCACCTGATTCTGCTTTAGTACTGGGTTGTCTCCTTCCATTTACTGATTTGCCCCGGTTTAAATGGATATCCTGAGGCTTGTCGTCTCCTTCTTCCCTGCTAATGCACTCATTCTTTTCTCTGCTTTGCTTGCCTGACCTGGTTGTACTTTTTTTTCCTGTCAAAGGTTTCTCTGGGTCAGTACTAGATGAACTGCCCTTCATTCCTCTTCCAGAATTCCCTTCTGCCATTTTGCGTCTGATTTGCCCTAAAACCTGAAAGATACATTTATAGCATTTCAGTCAGCAGAAATCCCTCCCCATATACAGTCAGAACAAGGAAGTTATAATGAAACGAAACTTAAATTCTACTGCATAAACACTTAACCACCTCCCTGCCTGGTTGTGATATATCTTGTTGAAGGATTCTAGCATGGGATAGAAAGTTTTCAAGTTTTATTTAAATGTTAATTAGCATAGAGGAGAGTGAAATACTGCTGAAAAATACTACTATTGTGTTTTATCTGTATTTTGAGCCACCATAACTATTCTCAGTCCTCGACCGCTGCCCCTACTGTTCCCTCACCCACCTTCACTACCCTTAACCACTAAGCCAGCATACTATGCCATAATTTCACTAATCCCACTATCCTCAGCCATTCACCCTCAACTTCTGTCACTCCCCACTGTCAACTGCCACCCCCACTATCCTTAGCCACTCTCACTGCTCTAATTGTCCCTATACCCTCAGCCTAATGCTAATGCCCCCCAAAAATAGTCAGTTGCCTAAATAAAATGCTGATGACTTTATTATGACTAACATGATCTTATTTTAACTTGCTGGTCTTCCTTCCATTACTTGATGGTGTTTTTGTAATATCATTGTACAGTGCTACAGAATCTGATGGCGCTATATAAATGATAATAATAATAATTGAGGACATTCATATATCTAGATGCTGCTCTTCCAGCTCTGTTACTAAAGGCTTGATTGGTTGAGCTGATTCTTCAAACACTTTTTCTCTTTTTATTTTCCTTGGTAGTTTCCAGATGGTTCCACTTTCCCTATAAGAGTTATTCACTAGACTGAGGATTCAAACTGCATTACAAATTTAAGGTCAAAATAGCCAGACTGGAATTCACTTTGAGTGCAGTTTGGAATGTACATAGTCAATTGCGTTGCAGGGTTATTCAGTGATCAGAGTTGCGGCACACACCGATATCAGTCACGGGGGCATCAGTAACAGCTGTTACGATGCCCTCGTGAACCTCTATGCAGGAGTATGCGTGGACAATGCTCTTATTGGAGCGATTGTCCGCAAGGGCACTCTAGAGCAGGAAAAAACGCAATATATAAGGTGCCCTGAGGTGATATTTGGCGCCAGAATTAAGAAGAAAAGTTTAATGTAGAGTTGTTTTTCTTTTTTCTTTTCCTCATAATAATTTTCTTTGTCATATTGAGAAGATATCTATCAAGCATTTGATTAAGGAAGTTAAAGCGTACTGTCATTCCGAACTTACCTTTCTTTAATCAATTCCTCTTCTCTCCCTCTGTCAGGATCTGTTCTTCATTTCTTCCTGTCTGCTTTAGTTTTCTTTAATTGGGCGGCTCTCCATATTGCATCCTGGTGATAAACTATTACAAATTACTTTGATTATCTAACAGGACACTCACTGTCCTCTATTATCAGCGCTACTCAGCCAAGTCAGCCACTATCTAAAAATGTAATCATTTTTTTAACGTATTTACATATTTATTTATTTTATATTATATATAAATATATATATATAAAACAATAATTTCAACATTCTTTTCTTTCAGGAAGTGTTCCGGAGGATTGGAGGAAGGCAGATGTGGTTACTATATTCAAAAAGTGTTCAAAATCCTTGCCTGGAAATTATAGACCTATGAGCTTAACCTCTGTGGTTGGGAAAATATTTGAAAGGTTATTAAGGGATAATATTCAAGAATTCCTTGAGAAGAACATGGTTATCAGCAAATATCAGCATGGTTTTATGAAGCACAGGTCATGTCAAACTAACTTGATTGCGTTCTACGAAGAAGTAAGTAGAAGTATAGATCAGGGTGTTGCAGTGGATGTGATCTATTTGGATTTTGCCAAGGCATTTGATACAGTTCCACACAAAAGATTAGTGTTCAAACTCAAGGAAAACGGTCTAGAGGGAAATGCTTGTTCTTTGGTAGAACATTGGCTTAAAAATAGAGTACAAAGAGTTGTCATTAATTGTAAATTTTTAAGCTGGACAGAGGTGGCAAGTGGTGTCCCTCAGGGTTCTGTTCTGGGACCCCTTCTATTTAACATGTTTATATATGATCTTGAAAAAAGCATTGAAAGTCATGTTTCAATGCTTGCAGATGACACAAAATTCTGTAAAATAATACAATGTGAGCAAGATATTACTTTGCTGCAGAGGGATTTAGATAGACTGGGGGACTGGGCACTCAAATGGCAGATGAAATTTAATGTTGAAAAATGCAAAGTTATGCACTTTGGTGTAAAGAATACACAAGCAACGTATACCCTTAATGGAAGCGAACTAGAGATAACAACACACGAAAAGGACTTGGGAGTTGTTATAGACAACAAACTATGCAACAATGTGCAATGTCAATCAGCAGTGGCTAAGGCCAGTAAGGTATTGTCATGCATGAAAAAGGGCATTCATTCTCCGGATGAGAATATCATTTTGCCTCTTTATAAATCACTGGTAAGACCACATATTGAATATGCTGTGCAATTTTGAGCACTTGTTCTAAAGAAGGATATTATGGCACTAGAAAAAGTGCAGAGGCGGGCTACAAAATTAATAAAAGGAATGGAACATATCTGCTAGGAAGAAAGGTTAACAAATTTAAACCTATTTAGTTTAGAAAAAACATTGCCTGAGAGGGGATATGATAACATTATACAAATATATTCGGGGCCAATACAAACCATTGTGTGGAAATCTATTCACAAACCGGACTTTACATAGGACACGAGACTGAAAGAAAGAAGATGTCGACTAAGGCAAAGGAAAGGTTTTTTACTGTAAGAACAATAAGGATGTGGAATTCTCTGCTTGAAGAAGTGGTTTTATCAGAGTCCAAACAGCTACTAGATGCATACTTGCAAAAACAGAATATTCAAGGATATAATCTTTCAATGTAGGGTAATAACTGCTTGATCCAAGGATAAATCTGACTGCCATTCTGGGATCAAGAAGGATTTTTTTTTCTAGCTTGTTGCAAAATTGGAAGGGCTTCAAACTAGGTTTTTCTGGCCTTCTTTTGGATCAACAGCAAAAAAAAATGTGAGGATAGCTGAACTTGATGGATGCAAGTCTCTTTTCAGCTATGTAATACAGTGATTTTCTATTCTGTTCTCTACTATTTAACTAATCTCTATTATACAGTATTTGTATAGCAAATTTTTTACTATTTCCCCTCTTTTTTTCTCCCGTGTTTTGAGGTTTTTACCTTTTTTAAATTATACTTATTAAATGTTATATTTTATATTAGTTATCTTATATCAGTGATACTATTAGGACAGATCACGCTTTCTCATTTTCTTATTTAAATTCTCCACAAGGGTTATCCCCTAGTATCTGTCCTAGATATGTCTTACATTTATACCTATAGATTCCTACATGTTCTCTTTTGCAGGTTTTTTATTTGGTTTTAGAATTCCTGTTTGTAGTTTATCAGTTCAGTTTGTTGAAAATCTTTGCTGAATCTTCTATTTGCTTTCATTTATTGAAAATTTTCATGTCCATTGCTCAACAATTTGGTATTCCATTAAAAGAAAGGACAGTTTGGCCTGGTACATGTTTGCAAATTTTAGGTATAATTATTGATTCTGAAAGAATGGAGTTTTGTTTGCCTGAAGATAAAATTGTCAGAATGAAGCGCAAAATTTCTCATTTATTAGATGTTAATAAAACGACAGTTAAAAAATTGCAGTCTGTGTTAGGTTTACTAAATTTTGCTTCAAGAGTAATGCCAATGGCTAGGGCTTTTTCCAGACATATGTCCAGAGCTATAGCTGGTTTTAAAAATCTGCATCACCATGTTAGAATTTCTAGACAGACTGAAGAAGATTTACATGTTTGGAATGCTTTTTTATGCAACTTTAATGGTTCCATGATTTTGCAAAGTGATTTTGTATCCAATTGGGATTTGGATATTTTCACGGATGCAGCTGGTTCTCAAGGCTTTGGTATATACCTTCATGGTAGTTGGGCAGCCACTGGTTGGCCCCAGATGTGGGTTGAGAATGGTTGGACAAGAATGATTGTCCTTTTGGAACTATTTCCGGTGGTCATAGCCCTGGAGGCTTGGGGCTCTGAATTAGCAAACACGAGGATTACTTTTCATTATGACAATTTAGGGGTTGTTTTGGTAATCAATTTTCTTAGGACAAAATGTAACCCGGTGATCTATTTATTGAGACAATTTGTTTTTATTTGTTTGGTAAATAATATTTGGGTAAAAGTGAAGCATGTAAGTGGAAAAAGTAATTGTATAGCTGATGCTTTGTCCCGTTTTGACTTCAAGTCTTCAGATTCCTTGCACCTATAGCAGACAAAGTTGGAACGAAGTTGCCAGAACACATCTGGGAGCTAACTTCACCAAGATAAGCCATTTGTTGGGTTTATCGTTATCTACAACCACTTGGGAAGGATACTTGAAGGCATGGGAGGAATAGCATCGGTTTATGGTTAATTTAAATAAGGACGCTACTGATCCCACTATACAGGTTGCAATTCAATATGTTATTATTAAAATTTAGACATGTGCAATTCGTTTCGGTCTGAATGTGAATTCGGACGAATTTCGGACAATTCGGACATTTGGGTACTTCCGAATGTCCGAATGGATGCATTGCCGAATTGCCAAATGGTTGAAGTCCCGAATTTCCGAAATTACCAAATTTCCGAAGTGTCGAATTGCCGAAGTGCTGAAGTTCCGAAGTGTCGAAGTGCCGAAGCACAGTATTGCCTAAGAACTAATATACTTACCCAGTGGAAGAATGAAGAATGTTACACTGTATACAATTTTAAATAAAAAGTATACAAACATAGCCAGGATTCAGCTGTAAGCATTTGCAACACTTACAACAATCAAGTAACATACATTCATATAAAATGTAAGTTACTTAGCCAGTCAGTGTAAATACAGATAAAGATAGGGGGTGCAATAGAAGAGAAATAATGAATTTGATACTTATTAATCTTTAGCTGTCATTCATATTTCACCTAAATAAGAAAGTAGATACATAACATAATACTGTTTTAACACATAAAGACAGAAAATGACT